GACAAGTCTCAAACTATCCCTGACAGCAGTTTCGACAACCATATCCAAATCAATACTTCGACAACTACCCGGCACCACCTCCGACAAACTAGAGACTGCCGAGAAACAACTTCCAACAACAGAGTCGACAATGGAATGATCAACCTTGCTGCAACAACTACAACAATTACAACAATGGCTACAGTAACAACTACAATGATCGACAATACCTGCCGAACCGGAACTACCTAGTAAACCGAGACAACTACAACCAAGGATACCAACAATACCCAAGATACCAGAACCAAAGATACCAAGGCCAAGGTTATCAAGACCAGGGCTACCAAGGCAACTACAACAACCGGCCATGGCAACCTCAACTTCAAAACCAAAGAGGTCCGTCAAGACTTGGTCCACTACCTCCTCAACAACAAGATCAGAACCAGCAGCAACCACCAACAACAAGGATGGTCAAGACCGACAAACTACCTTATGCCGACAATGATGACTCCGATCCTCAAGTCATGGCAATACAAACCCGAGTACAAATTCAAGCAGAAAAACAATCGGACAGCAATTCTGGAGATCATTAAGAGAAGGGCTCGGAGAGCCCGATAAAACTCTAGGAATGGAAAAAAAAGCAGAAGTTAGCCACCAAGATACAACGTCAACTTGCTCTACAACCACCCGAGTTAGTGATTTTAGACTCCGATAAGGAAGCTCAACCATCACCAGCTTTACAACAATGCCAAGACTCAATACCAGAAAACCAACAGACAAATCGTCCGACATCGACATCGACACCAGAACACAATCTAGCAAACTTCAAGGAAATCCAAGAAGTAGCAGAGACTACCCTCAGCCAAAATATTCAGATCACCATCGGCCAATTGCTGAAGATTGCACCCTACCTCACAAAACAGCTCACTGATCTGACATCTGCACTGACCAACACTCTGACAGACTCACCCAAACTCAACCCGACATGGACAGCTGTTGACACATTTCAAACCAAGATTCAACCAGGCAATTGCGACAATGATGTTCCGACAATCGACCTAAGACTCAACAAACACCTTGTTCGCAGAGCCATAATTGACGGCAGCTCCAGCATCAATATTATTGAAGAAAGTCTTGTTCAACAGCCCAACATTGGCCCAATCCACCCGGCACCTTTTAATGGCCGACCACCAATCTGTGCAACCCAAAGGCATCATCCGAAAAGTGAACACCACCATTCAAGGTATCGAAATATCAGTCAACTATGTCATCTTCAAACTACTAGAGCAGACTGACAGATACTTGATTCTCCTCAGTCAACCTTGGCTCTGAACCACCCAAGTTTATCAAGACTGGCCCAACAACAATCTTATCCTTCGAGCACCGGATGGCCCGACAACCATGTCGACAAAAGCGACCAAATCACTGTCCAGCCACAACCGACCTATTGACTTGGAAGAATATAATCTTGAAGATGGCCTTGACGACTATGAAGAACAACAAATTCTCAAAGCCTACCCCAATCTCGAACCTTTGGCCGAGATTGACCTATTCTGAATCGTCACCGACTTCCAATGAAAATGACCACTAATTACATCAGCACTGAAAAATCCAGTCACTCGAGATACAAAACTCAAAGTGCTACCAGCATTCACAGTCGACAACCACAACAAAGTTGCCTACATTCCGTCAATTCTAGCGAACCAAAAACTTGAAAAAGTCAGCCTGGCCAACAACGGCAACGAACACTACATTGTACTCGCCACCGACATCTTGGCAAGTTTTCGAGACAAAGGCATCAAACTTCTCCGAAAGAAAAAACCACTTGTTCGCTTGGAGTTACCAAGACCTTAAGGGAGTTTCGCCAAAACTCAGCCTTCACACCATCACTCTTCTTCCAGACTCAAAACCGAGAAGACAAGCAGCCTACCGGATGAATCTGAATCTGATGGAACAAGTAAAGAAAGAACTTGACAAGATTCTCCAAGTCAAGTACATCTACCCAATTCAGAATCCAATCTGGCTTTCCCCACTAGTGGTTGTGCCAAAGAAAAATGGCAAACTTCAAATCTGCATCAACTATAAACAGCTCAACGACGCCACTAAAAAAGATGTCTTCCTGATACCATTTACCGATGAAGTTCTTGACGCAGTCACCGGACACGAGATGTACTCCTTCCTCGATGGTTTCTCCAGCTACAACCAAATTCACATTGCTGAAGAAGATCAGCACAAGACAGCATTCATCAGTCTCTGGGGATCCTATGCATACTGACAAATGCCTTTCGGACTCTGCAACGCCCCATTTACCTTCCAAAGGCTCGTCACTAACACTTTCTGAGACTACCTCACCGACTTCATGATCGACATCTTGAATGCCTTGAGAAATGCCTCAACAAGTGCGAGGAGAACAACATAGCACTCAACCCCAACAAATGCACTTTCTTCGTCAAATCTGGAGTACTTCTCGGCCACATTGTCTGCAAAGACGGCATTCTCATCGACAAAGACAAAGTCGACGTCATCTCCAAACTCGAACCGCCGAAGAATCAAAAAGAACTTTGATGTTTCCTTGGCAAAGTCAGATGTCACCGATGCTTCATCCACAAGCATGCTCACATCGCCATACCACTCATCGATGGACTGAAGCACGATGCCCAATGAACATGGACATCCGAACAGCAACAAGCATTCGAAAATCTCCGACTCAAACTAACAATAGCACCGATCCTTGCCAAACCTGACTGGACACAAGAGTTCCACATTCATGTCGACACTTCTGACATCGCCACTGGCTCATTTCTGAGCCAAACTCAACATGACAAATGAGATCAACCGATCTACTATGCCAGCCAACTACTCAACCCAACTGAACGAAATTACACCACCATAGAGAAAGAAGCTCTCGGCATGATCTACTCACTTCAGAAGTTCCGACACTACATACTGTCAACCAAAGTCGTCCTTTTTGTCGACCACAAGGCACTCCTTTACCTCATCAACAAGCTGATACTATCTGGTCGAATATCAAGATGGTTCCTTTTACTACAAGAATACAACTTTGAGATCATCCACAAACCCGGCAAAAATCATGAGCAAGCAGATTACCTCAGTCGGATCACCACTAGCGACAAACCTGAAAGACTCACTGATGACTTACCTGACTCAAACCTATTCCAAGTTTCAATACTGGCAACCTGGCTCGAACATCTTCAGTTACCTGAACTCAGCAAAAGTTCCAGATCAGGACACCACGTCCGACCAAAAGAAGACTTTTGTTGCTAAAACCCACCAATACTCAGTCATCGGAGGCACTCTCTACAAACTCGGCATTGATGCATCAAGCCGCCAAGCACAACTCAAATCATCAAGGAAGCTCACGATGGACATTCTGGTGGACACTTTGCTGCCAACACCACAACTTGGAAGATTCTTCAAGCCGGCCTCTGGTGGCCAACACTTTAGCACGACACTGAAGAATTCTGCAAACGCTGCGACACATGTCAACAACACTGATTACCACCGAAAACTCAGACTCAACAACTCAACCCAACATTCCCGATGGCACTATTTCAAAAATGGGGACTTGACTTCATTGGACCCCAAGTCAGCACTTGTCAACAAAAGCAATACATCGTCGCCGCCACCGATTACACTACCAAGTGGGCTGAAGCAATACCTCTCCGACACGCCACAGCGAAAGCAACAGCAACCTTCATCTATGAAAATATCATCACTCGTTTCGGCACACCACTCGAACTCGTCACCGACAGAGGCACCCACTTCATCAATGAAACGATCAAACATCTCACCACCGAGTTCAAAATTTGACACAAAACGTCGACACCATACTATCCTCAAGTCAACAGTCAAGCAGAAGCAATGAACAAAACACTGAAGACCATCCTCAAAAAAGTCATCAACGATTCCAGCAAAGACTAAGACGACAAACTTCTTGATGTACTTTGGGCCTATCAAACTGCATATAAATTCACCACCGACATGATGCCATTCAAACTTGCCTTCGGAACAGAAGCCATCACGCCAATTGAGTTCATCATCCCAAGCATGCAAGTCACCGTCAAGTATAATCTCGACACATGACACGCAATTCGAGAAAGGCTTCAGCAACTCAAACGTCTCGATGAACTTTGACTCAACGCCCTCTGGACACTTCACGCCATCCAAAAACAGAGAAAAGCTCGACACAACCGACAAGCATCCTAGCACAACATTCCAAGATATAGCATTGACAATCATGTTCTCAGGTACCAAGGACCCATCGGCAAACTTGGCCGAAAACTCCACACCAACTGGCAAGGACCTTTCAAAATCATTACACTCTACCCCAATGGCACTGCCAAAGTCAGCACACTCACCGAAGACTTCAACCTCAACAAACTTCAACCATATCACATTGACATGTTCAGCATTAGCACCTTAGCAAATTTCCGACCCAAACTGACAAACACCATCGACAATCACCTTGGCAGACAAAATTTAACTCAACTCAGTTTGACACAACTCAATTTGACTCAACACGAACTCATCCACCAACTTTAGCAACAAACAATAGCAAAAATCTCTAAGTCCTAAGCTACTGGTGGACCAACGCCACCTTAGCAGATCTCAATAGTTAAACTTGAGTTAACTTCATCACCAATCTCCATCATTGATCTTCCATTAAGACAAGTCAAACAAGATCAATAGGTAGCTGAGCTCCAGGAAGATGGGACAGATCCACTAGACAGTGTCCCCAATCACAAGTTTACACTCTCGCAATTGAAGCATCGCTTCTATCAACTTGAGCAACAGCAATAACAAGCAATGGAGACTAACTATGTTCATGCTGAGGATGGTGTCTAATTTTGTCAAGGGAGTAGAATGTATCAACCAAAAACCCAGGCTCAAGGGACTCCAACCTTGAACCCAAGGCTATATTAGATCATGCAGATTAAATCATGCACAGCATATAGCATATGTTGGCAATTAAAACTACTACCCTTTTAAAGAGGGGAATCTGAATTGTGGATCTCCATCTCCATTCATCATTTTCTTATCAATTCACAACATTCTTTCACTCATCCTTCTTGGAGAGTGAAGCCCTTGGAGATTGGGCCCTTTTCTCTTTTGTTTTAGTACTAACAATAGATTTCCAATGAAGAGGAGTATCCACACCACTTCAACTACCTTATTAGTTGAATGAATAAAGCAGGACTTGACTGCAAGAAACAACACCAACCAACAATCAAAATCTGTATTGACATGCCTACAAAGGATCCACATGCATACCTGCTCAAAGTTTGGTTGCCGCTTGCCACGACAAAAGTTTGGTAGCGTCCAGGTTGCGTTGCGCAGCATAGACAGCTCCGCATTTTCGTTCAGCTGTGCTAGCAAAGGCATCATGGCATTGTTATTCAGGACGAGATCTCGGCACTTTGGAGAGTCGCCAGCGACATTACCAAGAGCCCATTCTGCTTGTAGTACGAGACAATGTCAGGTTCCAAGGTTCCAAGCTTTAAAACTGCGAAAAGAAACAATTACTTGATCCCGGACATCCTCACATGCAGATGAAAGAAGATGCACTAAGATAGGCACAGCCCCATGGTTTATAACGACCGTTGTGTGATCGGAAGTGCCAGACGCAATATTCGTAAGAGCCCATTACTCGAATTAACGACCCCAAACACCTTTTGTAAAAAATAGACTTACCTGAAGCTTGAAAAACTCCACAAATCGACTGGTTTAATACCTTTTCATACCTTTTTATACCTTTTCTCTGAAAGGTATGAGAGCCCAAAAGATCAACGAGCCCCAGGTCGCATCGGGCATCTCCGGGGTTTAGATTCTTTGTGTTTGGTTGAGATTGAAGCTGCTTCTGGAAGAGGTGATCTGCTGGAAGCATTTGGCAGGTGGATGATCCAACCCGTCAAAGAAATGCTAAAAAAAACACGGCCAGCTCATAGCTTACCTGCGAATCAATGGATCCCGAGGCATGACAAGAGATCCCGTTTAATCTGTGTGGAAACCTGACAAAGACGATCACAGATATATTACCATGATTGGTCCGTTGTAAATTAATCAACGATTTTAGTTGTAGCTCCACAAAGGAAGATTGAAATTTCATGGCTTGAATTCTTTGAAACACTTCCCATCGATTAGATAAGCTCCGATAGCGAACCTCACAGCCCAGACATTCTTTGGTCTCCTATCAATTATCCTGCACAGTTTTCCCTGAGTACGAAAAAGAATTTGTGGTAGAGATTTACCTGCCAACATCCCCAGGGCGAATTACTCCATCGTTTTTGCGCAGCATTGGCATTGGCTCGGCAGTCTTGAGGATTTGAGGAGCCTCAGTGACTACTACTGGAGTTCCAATGCCAATCCCTTTGGATGACGAAGCAGAGCCAAGGTTGTTGATCTCGGGAATGGGCTTCAAGATTTGCCATCCCTCGGGAACAATTTCCACTTTTCTTGGCTCCTCATTCGCATTGCCATCCAGAGCTTTCACTTTGAGGCTTCCCAATCTATTGATCAAGCAACTCTTCAATATAGAAGTCATTTTTGTTTTCCCTTCTAGGTATGAATCGATTTTAATATAACTAGAATTTACATAATTATCTACACAAAGCATCTGAAATTAAGAGCATATTTAGCACTGTCTACACTCACTAATAAATGCTGCCAATGCCAAAGTCCAAGCCCCAATATTTTCTTCACTTGCAACAACCGTTCCCCATCCAGCCCTTGCACCAAGCTCTGCTACACATGAGCCTGAACAAAACAAACTCAAGCCTTCTGAACCAAGCCTCCATGGCTGCATAGAACTAAGAATAAAACCTCACTTGGCAAAACACTGTATAAATATAAACAACTTATGAATGAATATGAATGAATGAATGAGAACTAAGAATGTGTGGAGAAACACTGTCCAAAAACATGTCCATAAAGAAGCCCAACACTTTGCAAATATTTCCATTCGAGCATATGCTGAATCACGGCATTCCAAGGCACAGTGGTACAAACAAACCTTGAGAAAAACACACATCGGCAGCCCACAATTCAGAGCATGTTCCATACATTCAATAGCTACCATCATGTTGATGTCATGCTTCCAACAGTTTCTCATAATCAGATTTGCCACAAGAAGAGACCCAGCTTTGCAAAGTTTTTTCTAAGTGACGGAGTCTAGAAGAATTCCTCTAGATTTCATTTCCAAAAACACTGAGATTACATTTTTGCCATGACCATTCTTGACACCCATACTTTTTGAAATAGCCAGCAAATTCTAGATGTTGTGTTAAGACTGTTGAGGAAATATCCCCTACTTAGGCATATGCTTCAAGCCTTGCATTACTATAGTATTAAGTGTCAAATCTAAGCAATAAAATGCAACATAAATGTCATATTTCACTTATAAAGATTTATAATAACTTCATTCACAACATAAACAAGTTTATGCTATTCTTTTTTTGACAAAACTCAAAACTAATCTAACACTAAACTACTTAAGGAGTAATAACAAAGTTCTCTGGAAAAGAATTAAGTATTACAATAATAAATTTTAGTGTTTCACCATTATTTATTTCACAATTCACCACTTGTAAAACCATCATAACTAATATGCATTAAAAAAGACTCTTGATTGCATGATGTAAAAAAACAATAATATTACACCTTGTTGCAAATTATCTCTCAGTAAAGAGAAAATGATTTACATAATTGATCTTTCATCCTTAATGATTCTTTTTTTGTTTCAAATTTGAAACCTTAAATTTGTGTTCACACTACCTTTAGTTTAACCTAAGAAAAATTTATGAAAAAGCATGACAATGACTACTAGTGTTATGCTAAACAATTATAAACTAGTCTATTTGCCACTCATAGCAAATCTATAAGAGGTTTACTTTTACCCACAGTAATATGAACCATTGATAAGTTAACATTAATCCTGCCAACTCAGAGTATAATTTTAAGTTGCTAATATGCTTTACTCACAAGCCCAAGCATAAACTCATATAAATGATATATCTCAAATTCATCTATGAGCCCAATCAAAAGCTTATATAATATAGTATAAAATGGTATATATTAAAATCTATACTTAAAAGATGCATACGAAGCCATAGCAATCAAATTGTAAATAACTAAAGAAAATAACTCAAAAAGTGATCTATAAAGGTTCAAATATAGAGGGAAAAAGCCAATAAATAATCTATTTTCTAATTAGTTAAGGGTCTCTATGTCAATCTTACTACTCATTCTAGAGCATTCTTGATCTCTATTAACATAACTATCATGTTTTGGAACTTTAATATTAACTTCTTGAGTTAATTTCTTAGGTGTTTCTAACATTTTACATTGTATATACTGCACAAACTTCATTTCCCCATTTTATGAAGTTTTTTACTTAAAGGCACTATCATTCTCTCTTTTATTTTGTGCCACCCTAGGCACTAAGTTCCACTTATTTATAATTTGCATTAGAGTTGTTTATGGCTTTATTATTTCACTATCTTGTTGCTTTATCTCTTGGAGCTTTTACTTTTGTCAAATTAGAGCATTTGGGAATCCCATCTTTAGAAATATATTTCTTTTTCCACAATATATTAGCATGCACTATATAAGTGTTCTTCACCTAATTTGTCATTTGGATTCCTTTTAATAATTTCTATAGCCCATTCTCGGCTATTAGTTTTTTGTTTCCATCCTTTAATTATTACACCAAGCAATATAGGATCAATACCTCCATATATGTTTTTTCTATTTGGTCATCTTGACCAAGTCACACCATTATCAATAGTTCAAATTAACATTTTGAATTAAAAAACTTATTCCTTAACCTAACAAAGAGCTCATCTTTATTTGGCCATGGGATCACTTAGTGATCTCACGTGGACATGTATACCAATAAATATTAGGTTTATCAAACTTTTAAGTTGTTGACCATAATCTTGAGGGCATCCCCACACTTAGCGGTGCACCTAAGTTAGCCCTTTCAACCAAGGGTTCATAGTAACCAAAAATAAGTGTTCCTATCCCATTCAACTCATCCTTGGTGCCATTTGCACTAAAGCATTTAAATTAAATAAATCAGGTTTTCACACTAAACATTTTAACCGTGTATCACAATTTTAAGGCATCCCCCACTTGTGAGTTGGGACATAAACCCAAGCACTAGAGGATTAGACTCAAACTTAACTTTTGTACATGCATTTACGGACGGCATCTTCTAGGATGCCTAGTGTGACTCCTTATGCTAATGTATTAACTTATACTCAATATACATTACAGATCACAGTTAAGGAACCTAGTTCTTCTGAGCTTCCAAGTCCTCTCACTTGACAAGCTAGTTAATTAACCTATGATCATGCATAGACTCCTTCATACTTGGCCCCATAAGTCATCCCTTTTGAAGTCAACATCTTCAATTAGAGTCTTTGTTCCTCTAACTTGTCAATTTTGCTTAGCAACCAGCATAATATAGTTTTATTCATAAGTATGAAATTTTTTAAACATCAACTTTTATTTAAAGCTATCTTTTTAAACACTTGGGAACTATTTCCCCAACTTTGATAGCCTTGCCCCATAGCAAGCTTCAAAACTATATTATTGTTATGCCACTTTGACTTCACACATTCTATGAATTATTTACATTTTTATTTCTAAGTACTAACTTACCTAAAATTGTCCTTAGGAACATTAGTTGTTTATAAGAAATCACACCATATATTGAGATTTACATTGGTAGTCTAATTTGGGCCGGTTGGGGCTCTCAAGAGAGTTATAATTTTTAACTTCTATTCATAGGGGTATGAACTTATAGAGAAACATAATGGATTATAAGTAATAAAACAAAAAAACTCGAGATAGGCCATGAATAAAAGTGTATCTTATTTTCTAATTGATTAAAAGTTTTGATATACTTAGGGTTAAATACCCTTAGGTTTGAGTAATATTAAACTGGGTAGTATTGGGCTAGGTAACCTCCCAAAAAGTCTATATATATATATCTGTGTGTGTGTGTGTGTGTGTGTGTGTATGTGTAAATTCATTCAAATCATCATTTTCATCTCTGCGTATGCAATAATATTAGTTGCCCAATCTCATTAGATAGTATTCACTAAAACTCAACACCTATGATTTTCACTTTTTATCTTATAATGATTTACTATAAAATGGCCATAGAGCGGAATCTAATCCTTAGACACATGTGCTTAGGGCAACGGAGTAGAACCCAAGTTGCAATGGATTGGGAGTATGGAGCAACATTAAAACATTCTTAGAGCATTTAGCATCTTAACACCAAAACTAGCATGCAAACAAAGCCAAATGAAATCTAATATTATTTCAATATACTGATGGCTTAATGTGAGATATTAAGTCTAGTTTATTAACACTTGAATAAAAAGGATTATCAAAGGGAATTAACAATATTAATCTTTTGTTGTTGTGATAGTAACAGAGGAATATCCAAAAGGACTTATCAATAGATAACTTTCAATACCCATAATCATATTTATGATAAAAAGTTAGTGAAATCCATATAAATTTCCACTGTCAAGCTAAATCTAGATGGTTCAATCTCTTGTTACAAGCCAAGGCTCTTATGGCCAAGGGCTATTCATAAGTAGTTAAAATGGATTATTAGAAGGATATAAAGTTCATAGATAAGAGAACTATATTTAAAGACTTATTTAATCAATTTACAAACTAAAATAAGTCTTTTGCTTCAATAATATATATATCATACTTTATCTTTCTCCCCTTAAACCAATTAGAAAAGAGGTAATTAAAAGTTTTATATACTTATTTATCCCTTAAAGTTTTACAGTGATAGTATATCCAAATCTCATCCTATGATTACATGCATTACAATTAAGAAAAATATAATTTATATTTTTTTTATGTAAATGATTCTTTACTCATATGCAACAATATAAGTTTTTTAGCTAAGATTAAAAAGATCTTTTCATCTCATTTTGAGATGAAGGATTTATGTGAGTAATGCTATTGCCTCAAGATCCCAACCAATAGGATAACTCTATTGTTCTCCACTAAAGCAAGTATACTAAAGATATTCGCCAATGGTTTTCTATAAAGTGTAGTACACCTACACCAATACTTATGCTCACAAGTCTGAAACTCACTTGTGACAATTCTCCCTTGATAGAGCAAGAAAAAGAAGAGATGGCCACTATCTTATATTTCAGTTTTATCAACAATCTCATGTATCTCATAGTCTATATAAAACCCAATCTCACAAGCTTGGTAAGCCAAATCAATAAACAACATTAGATGGCTATAAAATAAATTTTTTGGTACTTATGTGGTACTTCATCCTTTAGTTTGAGATACTCAAACTCCACACTAGAAGGCTTTAGTGACTCAGATTAAGTAGACTCTTTCCAATTATAATCAGGTTATATTTTAGCCTTAAAAACAAACAATGATGGCCATGTTTTAGTTGTAAGGAGGAATATATGGTAGAAAGTGTAGTTTGCTATGAGGCCATTTTGCTCTAGCACCTCCTTATAGACTTGGGTGCTCTTATTTCAAGCCCTACAAA